CAGTAGACTTAAATTTTCCAATTGCCTACCAGCGTCTTCACTTGGAGGTTGCATGTATAAGCAAAATCAACATTTTCCAAAATGAACTCATGGTCTGCCCACAGGTCTCTTCCCTGCTCTGTCTCGACTGCCCCTCCTGTCTTTGTAGGTCAATAAATGACACCATCAGAAATTTGAGATTCACCAAGCTTTGCCACTTCTACCTTACAAATATGCTGCTGTTGTACCCTCTCAACTTCAATCCACCCAACGTTTTCAAACCCATCTTCCAGAGCTGGATGCTGTTTGTGCAAATCTCCTACTGATATCCTTTCATAAGTCCCTACACTCTTGGGACAAAGAGTAAACTCTTGAGAAAGACACAAAAATGATCTTCATAATTTGATCATGATCAATGGCTTCAATAGTAATTCTAATCCTCCTCATTCCAATTCCAGCCATTCTAAAGTCCCTGCAAATCCCTTACACCATTGTGTTTCCTGTGTCATACCCTCCTACATACCAATGCTTTCTATGTTTTGAAAACATTGTGTTCCACTATTTGGGACATCTATGCACAGATCTTTAACCTTCTTCTTCACCTGGATAAATGCTATGTAAGACACAGCATTCTTACTATGCTCTGAGTACTTCTTTCAAAGCACTTACAACTCTACAAAGTGACTCTTTCTACTTTTGTTGGTTTAAATAGTGAGTGTCTTGAAGTTGAGAACTATGACTCTATGCTGCATTTTTCCACATACATAGTACAATGTGTAGTGAATAATACTAAATTATTGCTATGAAAACTAAATTCTTTTTTTTTTTTGAGAGGACTTTGCTACAGGGTGCATGAGCTCGCCAGAAAGACAGAGAGAGACAGAGAGACAGAAAGCGAGAAATCACCCCCCAGGGGGGATGGCCACGCCACAACCCCTTCTCCTTCATTCTCCTCTTGGGATCTTGGGCATGCAGGCACATGCGCCTGGTGTGAGTTTAAGCCGCCAGGTCTGGGACTCGAACCACAATTGACTACATGGGAGTCCAGCAACATAGCCATTACACTAACTGCTGGTCCCCAAAACTAAATTCTTCACGCAATATTTGTTTTATTCAGTAGGAGACAAATAGTCACACAACCATTTGTATATAGAACACAACCACAGAGGGGAGGAGACTCGCTATGACCTTGTCTAGATGAAATTTATAGACATAAAAAAGGTAGAATAAATTGTAAAATATGAGACAATTTGAGATACCAAATACATAATGTGTGATGAAATCAACATTGCCAAGGGAATTTATATGAGATGGCAAACATAGGTACTTACTTGGCTGATGAGAAAAGGTTTTACAGAGAAATTTTAACACTTTAGTTAATATAAGTATTATAAGAATCAGTAAGAACCAGAGTTAGAATGTAGGAATAATGAACAGCCAGATATATTCAATGGGGTCAGGGACAGGTCGATCTTGCTCACTGCTCTGTCCAGAAGGCCTAACACATGCCTGGATCATAGTAGCTGCTATGTATTTATTGAATGGAATTTTAAACTGTGCAGCTGGTGATGTGAGAAAACATCTGTTAAAAAAAGCAGCACTTTTCTCCATTTGCCATTCCATAAAAAGGTAATTTGTATATGTGTTTACTAGAACTCTTTCCTCAAAAGTTAAATATTGCTTCACTCTTTGGTTGGCAAATGTGTTGTTTCAAGATGGAGAAGAATCTGCTTTAAATGAAGAGAAAGCTATTTCAGTTCATCATCCTCAGAGCCAAATTTGAATCTTAAAATGCACTTTTCATCAAAGAATCTTAACAAAAAGATTCCTGCCAATTTAACCAAGACATCTAAAAATATTTCATTCCAAAGCTAAGTTTTCTGCTCAGGAGCATTCTAATTGAGATCACCTTCTTCCAAAGATCTTCCGTTGAGCTGACAATCACTTGAGTCACATGGCTTATATACCATCACCACCTTCCTGAGTAGCAGCTCACAACTTCATGCAGTTTAGGAATTCTACATTTTCCTAAATTTCCAAGACTTTCCCAAGACTTCTTTATACTCAACAGAAATTTATAAATAATAATAATAAATAAACCAGAGATAGATGTAACTTTGAGTTGGAAGTCAATTTAGCATGTTCCCCCTCATTCCAAACATGAGGAAACAGAGACAATTGGTAAACACCAACCAAAGCACACTCAGGAAAGCAGCTGGGATGGCTCTTGTGTGCTAGCCTGGTTTCATTCTTCTTTATGTTCATGGAACACCAACACATTCACATGTATCATTGTATTAGTCCTAGCAGTCACCTGACGTAGGTAAAAGGAGACTATTGCTCCCCTTTTACAGGTGAGAAAACTGAGCCCAGTCTGACTGAATTCTCTCAGGATGACTAAGCATTTGAAGTAGGACTAATACTAAAGACTCCTGTTTCAGTCCAGGGCCCTTCCATCACTGCCATTTATATGGAGCATCACGTTGACATGGTCATTTGCTCATTTAATACAAGGGGTCAATGACAATTGAGGTGGTTTGTGCCTACCATTCTTCAAAGGAAGATGTGCTATAACCAGAGAATGTTACAATTACCAGAGGTTGCAGTCCAGAAAAGATAATGAGGCAGAAATGTGTGTTAATCAATTTTGAGGTTTCACTTAAATAATCAATCCATCATTCTTTCAGAATTGAATCTAATTAGAAGAACTTAACCTTCTTAGAGTTGGGATAATATACCATAAACATCTTTTATTTAGACACAGGGATGGAATTTCCCATCTGTTGCTTCAAAACAAATAACCATATTTTTCAAAAAATACATCACAAGAGTCTTCTTGGGAGGATTAATTTTAAGTCATTAGATTGCTAGCTGAACTAAATGTTAATGTTTTAACAAGCTGAAATGTGACTGGGCAAATCCATGGGTGTTAGCATTAGGCTAAGAAAGGAATTTGGCTTGGAATTTTTAACACGAGGTTCTAATCATTAATGCTGCAATGCTGTCCCATTTACAACCTGACATTTATTTTTGCACTTTCAACATCCCATGATTTTTCAGCAACAGTGAATAGCTTTAAGTGATGACACCTCACTTAGCTGAATATATATTTTGACTCGCAGGTCTTTGCCCTGTGTCCACCTCACATATTTCTCCAAAATGTTGCATGCAGGTAAAAATAAGCAAAAATTAAGAAGGGAAAAGAAAATAAAAGCTGCCCCTCTAAGCAATTTTAGGATCTCTAACATCTAAGTTCCTAACTAACCCACTGGAGTAACCTCCAGTATCTCATGATTGTCTCTTCAGATTTGAGATTTTTCTTACATATTTTTTCATAAAAATTCCATTTTTATGATGCTCTAAAGAAGCAAGTGGCAAAACTCAGGAGCAGGAAAAGAGCATAAATGAAAATGCAAATGAGATTCTGATTCACCACATGTAAGGCACAGACCCACACCTGGTTTCTATATAACTTTGTTCTTAGCAGCACAATTTAGATTCCAATACCTAGGATTTAGGAGGCACCCATATTAGGACATTTTCCATTTTCGTGCTGAAAATCTAAACATGAGTTGATGAAAGATCTCAAATTCCACAAAATGTGTGGTTTTGAATCATCCAATATTGTCTTTGGTCTGTGTTTATAGTCTAGATGATAAAAAAAAAAAACTTTCTCATGTATAGGAATGTAAGAAGAGTCATGTCATTAAATCATTAATGAAACAGTTTAGCATTCCCTCAAGTTTTACTAAGATGGCCCAGAATGTTTTAATACCTCATGATTATCATTTGTCTTTGGCCAGTGCATAAGGACAGTGCTGGCTATTTGAGCTTTCTCTTTGTTTGAATTCTTGGAATATGGAAATGTGTGTAATGTTGAGAGTGTGTCAAAGACCTAGTACATTGGCCCTCTTCAGTTAATTAATTAGTATCCTAACTTTCAAATCCTGATGGCTGGCTTAGAAGTTATTTGCATAAAAGCTTACACACTACCTGCCTCCCTTCTTTAATACAATAATTCAATCAGTCTCTAGACAGCTATGTTGCAACACAATCTTCTGAAATGCTCTCTGTGTTATCAGGACTGAAAGTAACACTGGTGTCTTACATTAAAAAGTGGCTTCTCTAAGGGGATTTTAAAAACTTTTAAAACACAGAGTAGAAAAGTCACTGGAGAAAATCCCCCAAGTAAATGAGGGAATCTGGGACACTTGTGTTCTCATATGTCTGCAGTGCTCTAACATGGGCAGCAGGGGGCGCTCCTGCATGAAGCAAACCCCCCACACGTGTTTCCTGGTTACGAATACAGAGGTTTTTTTCTCTTAGCACTTGCCCCAAGTCCAGGGAGGTAGCCACTAAGGAGTACTGCTGTGGATAAATTGTACAAGCTTAGGGCACGTGAAGAAGGATCAGGAGAAGCCGCGTGGGACTGAGTCTGCCTTTTGGAAACACAGTGGCCAATTCTTATTTTATTTTGGTAGACAGAGGAGTTTAAAGGAGGTGGCAAGCAAAGGGGATGCTGTGGGAGGGGAGGGTTGTCATTGACTATAAAGAAGCAGTCTCCCAAAGCAACAAGTGGACATCAGTATACCAGGGTCATTTACTGCCTCCTTTTGCAGTTCAGTTTGCAAGTTATATTCTCTGCTAAATGTCAAAATATTCCCCCTTCTACTGATCCCACCACAACCTAGAAGATCACTTGATGAACTGGATTTCCTACAGAGCCTTAAGAAATATGGCTTCTGCAGGGGGTCTCCTGTGTGTGGCTACATTTTACATGCAAATGTGTGATGCATTTCACTGGCTCTATGCCAAGTTTATGAACCAGGTTGGAGAAATCATTAGTAACAAGAAAGAGCCGACTCTGTAACCTCGAAAAGGGTGCATTTCAAGACAAAATTTCCTCTTTGCCCCCACCTCATACGCATACTCACGCACACCCCACCTCCCACGGTTGGCTCCCTCCTCCTCGTTCCCAAATGAAGGTCTGCACAGGCATAGCCATAAACCTCAGTACTCACCATATTGACTTCAGAAACCATATCAATGCTGGCGATGTCAATATTCATTCCCACAGCCACTGGGGGACCTGCAAACCAAAATGGCCAGCCACGTGATTTTTCTCAGAACTTCATTCATTCTTAGCAAGAGTTGTCCCCAGGCAAGCAGGGGCATGGGACATTCTGCCCCTTACTGCTCACCCTTACATGCTTCAATACCCCTGGTTCCTCTACAAAAACGGCAGCAGACGCCCACTCCTCTAGCAAATGCTCTATTACACATGTACACACGTGTGCTAAGGGGCGAGGGACTCCAGCTCCATCTGCACATGTAGATGTCTCAGCATGTCAATACACACAACTCACAGAAAGGCAGGACTCCTTCTAGCCCTGGGTATTTTTGTATATTGCATGAAACCCCTTCCTCCTCTTTCTTTCCCACCCCCTTCTAAGTGCTGGTTTTAACTATTTAAGTGTCTTGCAAGCTGTGAGAAGCAAATTAAATGGGCGTATCTGCACATCTAGGGCTGCAAGCCAGACAGGTGCTTCCCCTTCCAATCTTCTCTGCCCTCCCATTTTGTCCCCCTCACACCCTCCCATCCCCCAACCCCTCCCCTTCTCGCCCCATGCTGTGAGGCTAGGAGGACTGAATAATATCCAGACAGAAGCCACTTTAAACCATGGCCAGAAGAACTCTTCCAAAGTAGGCGGGCCACAGGGGGTTAATGCCGCTTCTCAACCAATTGTCTGTACATCCTGTCCTCAAAAATGTTCACGATGGCCTTTGGTAAGTAAGGTTCTCTGGACACACTAGTAACTAAACTTAAGAGGTTTGTATCTCAGCAAAGGTAGTGAAGCAAAGGATCTGAAACAGTGAAGCTGAAGAATAGCAGTCACTAACCCTGAGTACACACCAAGAGGGTCTGGTTGAAAGACCATCCCAGTGCTGGATAGTAACAGACTGGCTTAAGTTTGGATTGGTTTCTCAATGTGGTAAAACGGAGACACATTCGGTGCACCACATGCACCCACACCAAAGGAAAGGGAAGAGACAGCGCGCACACAGCTTAAAAGACAGCTTCGGCACAAACTAGACTGTTTCTAATTGGCAAGGCAACCCATTACCTCCAAAATCTGGTCTCAGACGGATGTCATAGCCTTTCAGGAGTCTATCCACCGTCTCTTTAACCAGCGACATATTACTAGGGTCATTGACACTAAAGAAAGAAATGACAATAAACAGGCATCAATAAGGAGGCAGTCCCAGCGTCTTCAGCATCTGATGCTCACTACATATCCCTGCTCACAGAGGTATGCAGACAGAGCCCTTCAAAGTGAGAAAGGAAAAAAGAGAAACCCAGGGCACACTTACCTCTGCGCACAGACAGCGGCGATTATTAAGGGGAATGACCAAATCCCAAAGTAGCCCCTTTTCCGGACTCTCCACATCCCTTTAGTTTTTGATGGGATTGAGGGTTTCACTGAAGACCGGAGATCCAACTTAGTCTGCCCAGTGCAGTAATGCTAATGTGAAGCGCATGCGCACGGCGTACCAAAACATCAAAGGGGCAGCGGCGGCTGCCGGGGACCGAGCAGATTTCCTTGTTTAAAAAAAAAAAAAAATTAAAGGGGAAAAAGAAAAAGCATATATATGTATGATATATACATATTTGAATCATATAGGAAAGTCACCCCCCAGGACCATCCAGAGTAAAATCTTTGTTGTTCTTTCGTTAAGACAAAAACAACTACAGCGTCTGGTAAGTTTCGGTAGTTGCAGGCGGCAGTTTGCACCTCGCGGGTTGTGGGTTTTAAGTGTGTGTGTGTATCCTCTTAAATATGCAAAACCAGATTCGGAATTTAGGGGAGAGCAGGTGTGGGGTGCGAAAGGAAGATGGGTGTCTGGGAGCCCACTGCTGGTCTTAGCAGGAGGCAGGGGCGAGGAGTTTGAACTTTATTTCCTTGGCGAATAGCATCCCCGGCCTGGGGCGAGATGGGGGTGGGGTGGGGGTTGTGCGGCGCGGGGTGGGGGTGAGAGGACGACGGGAGCTGGAGGCGAAGGGGGAGGGAGGAGAGAAACCAATGGGAGGAGTGCTGAGCCACCCTTTGGATTTGGGGCGTTGGGTGGGGGGAGGTGGAGAATAGGAAAGAAACCAAAAAATAAGAAAGGAAGAAAGGAGAAGAAAAGAATAAAAAAGATGCCTGATCTTCTCTAGGAGCCAGGGAGCAAGCTTTTCTTCACTACTCACGAGCGATTTCTGTCTCCTCTCCTCACCCTTTGCCCCCTATTCTCAGCGAAGAAAACCTCGGGGTCCTGGTTTCTCGCCGTGTGACGTTCCTGACCCGCTAGTCCGGGTTATTTATAGCAGGAGGCGGGGAGGGTGCGAGGGGAGCAGAAAGGCACCGCTGTCTCTCCAGGTTTCAGTCGAATCCTGCACTGGGAAATTATCAGTCGGCAGGGTGGGATCTGGATGGAGGGGGCGATGGGACTGGGGGCGTGAGCCCCGGGTGACTAGCGCCCCATTGCAGGTGAGGGGGCCAGAGGGAGTGGGCGGTGGCACGCCGCAGGAAGGGCAGGTGGCCCGGTGGGACGCGCCCTGGCCAGGCCCCCTACGCCCCCTCGGGCGCACGCGCACCCGCGCGCGCTCACACGTGCAGGGACACTCCCGCC